GTATATATATAATTTCTGCTCAAAATCATGTTTTTTAGCTACTGCTCAAAAAGAGCTTCAAAAATGATTTAAGATTATATTTCATTTAAATGACATGTGGGTAAGGTATTTTTATTATTATATTTTGACAAAATGCAAATGTTTTAACCAAAACATCTGCCTCTAATTCCACACACTTTGGGACTTTATCCTTGGTTTGATTGGGTCATTGGTTCCAAAATGCAACAAATATTGCTCATTTTCAGCTCTTGGACCTTGCTGGACTTTTACATGAGCAACAGAATTAACACAGTCATATTTAAATAAACAATAAGCAAAACCTTTATTCCACTACACATTACATTTATATAGGAAGTGTGAAGGTTTTAAATACATAACTTACATACTAAATATACACCAATAAACATACCATAAAATTATGTAACTCCTTACCTATGTATTCTGCGTCAGGCAACAAAGAGTTAATGGACACAGCTTTGATTCTTTAGGATTTGATGCCAATGTTTAAAAAAAATATTTTTGTGTGCTTTTGATAACGTTGCTTGGGCCCAAACTAGAATATTTTAAGAAAAATGAGAGAAAATCTAACAAATAAAGTGATGGTTGTCATGGGAAAAAAAAGGGGGCAAAAAACAAGCAGAGGTTAAATGAGGTGAAAGTTGTTTTTGCTGTTTGAGCACTGAGGAGCACAGACTGAAGCAGACAGCGCCCCCTGTTGACAGGCAGTCAGAATAATCCTGCAGCTCTTCTTCAGGACAAACAGGAAGTTAAAATAAGGCGTCTTCTTTCACACTTTGTTTTACAGCTTATTAGTGCAGACCGCATGCACCATATTCAACAACAATAAACTTTTTAAATTATTATATAATTTATTCATTTAATGCCTGGATTTTTAGTTTAAAAATGAGTAGATATGCATAATCTAATAATAGCCTATGTCTTGAGTGTAGCTTTTCAAGCATTGTCTATGCTTTTAAAAGTTTAATAAAAAATGTAAACAAATGTAAGGAATAAAAGAGAGTTTATATTTCTGTTTAAACACATTATCTGCAGACTCATAAAACATTTGATAAATTAGAGTTTTTCATTTCTTATGTAAGGTTTTTTTTTTATTTCATGAGGAATAAAGGATGATTCCAATAAAAAATACTTATCTGTTATGCTAGTTTCAGAAGACTCAGACTCAAATTAAGTGAAATAATCTGACGTGGAATGACAGTAAGACTTCTAGAAAGAAGGAAAATGTCTGGGCCAACAGGGTTAATAACCTGACAGTCTGCTCATCAGGTTCATCAGTCTCAAATCAAGATCAAAATATACTTTTTGGCTAGATGTAAGATT